GCTCAAGGCTAGCGCTCTACCACTTGAGCCACAGCGCCACTTCTGGCTTTTTTCTTTTTGCTTATGTGGTGCTGAGGAATCGAACCCAGGGCCTCACGCATGCAAGGCAAGCACTCTACCACTGAGCCACCTTCCCAGCCCTTTCTTACATATTTTGCTTTAGGCATGACATCATGTATTCACTGAAATAAGTATAAAAATGCTCTTACTGAGGACATGGTGTACTGACTTTCTTACACAAAAGGGGCTGATCATACAAGCCTAGTTTCTCCAGTTCCTAAAGTTATAGATTAAAATGTGGTATTTAAGGCAATTAAACAACATGTTATACATGCTTATGTTAAAGTGTTTAAAAGTAAATTATGTGCTTTTTAACAGTGCCTAATATTTATCAAGTGTTCATCACAAAGGTATTTTTCTATAAATGAGAAACTTCATGACTTTATAACTTGCTCATAATCACACAACACTGGTTAATTCGGTTTTAAAACCCCAGGCTTTTAACACTGGGTTTAATATAAGTAAGCTCAAGCAGGTAGCAGTAGTTAATTAAAACAAATAATGAAATGATTTTTTTGCCCTGTAACAGAAGGGGAGAGAGGGATGGACAGAGAGAGAGAGGAGTGACAGAGAAACAGCAAAAAAACAGAGACAGAAAGAAAAGCAAAAACACAAAAAGACAGAAACAGAGAAACAGAGAAGCAGAGAGAGATAAATAAATGATAAAATGATTTCTATTTCTACTAAGATACCATTTGGAAAAATCAATATGAGAGATGTCTCATTCTAAAGTGGACAGATTTTGGAAGAAAGTGATTTGGAAGACAAAAAAAATGTTGCTTCAGTATGATTGAAGAAAATTACCAACTGTCTTGCTTAAAAAATTAAAATTATTCCATGTATCTTTAAACATCTGGGGAGAAACCTTAAATGTCTGTTTATCTTTATTTGTCTATTGTTTGTTTTCATTTAGGTCATATTGTCTTGCAAAAACTGACATGTTCATACAGAGCTATTAACATGGGATGTTAAATAATAAAGTAGCATGGAAAGAGGGAAGAAAAGACACAGCAGTTGATCAACTGATTTTTTTTTCTTTTTAGCTAAGTCTTATGAGCCAAAACAGAAGGAAACTTGCATCAACTCAGCTTTCACTGAGAGATGTTGGTGGTTTTTTGTTTGTTTTCCTCCCCTACTTTTGGGTACCACAAGATATTTCCCATGGGATTTTCATAAATGAAACATTGAATCACCTAATATAATTTTATAGGAAATACAGAGAGGCCTTTTGTGTAGGAGTACTTATTTCTTATGTCAGCTCTCAGCCTTACACAACATACAGCTGAAGGCTAAATTAAAATTTAACGTTAATAGGAGGTCAAAATGTTGCAGTTAGGATTTATAGCTTTCTAATAATCTCCTTTTTGCCATTTATGCTGTTTATGTCAAGCAATTTTGAAAAAAAAAAAAACTCTCCAAGACTATTTATAAAGGTTGCAGCCAAAGTGGAGCCAGCATAGACAGTAAATGTATTTGGTGATAAGTCAGGATAGGAAAAAAAATCCCACTGGCATAGTATAATAAGCCTAATTAAATTAAACTCTATTGAAGTCCTGCCCATATGCCAGAAAATTAACTATATGTGTACAGAATCATGGAGAAATAGATACATATAAAAGCTTTGAAAAACTATTGGGGATAGTAGTGGATTTTAGGAATGATACAAGGCAAATTTGTGTGCATGTGTGTGATCATGGAAATATTAATATGATTGTAGGGACATTGGTGTAAATACCTTTGATACATCATTTAAAAAAATCCAGTGATGCATGCAAATAACTAGTTTTTGTATCAGAGGCTGTCTGTTCTCCGGTGTATGGTTTGATCTCCTTTATCAAAAATCAG